TAGAAGTTCAGTACTGGTATTTTTGATCACAAATATGCTCAGCAGCCTGATCCATTCATGCCACTGATGTCAATGGAATCCAACATTGATCGAAATAATTCAAGAATTACGAGAAATGGTAAAATAAATGAGTTTAAGGACAATTGGGATTTTTGTAAGGAGACTTTACGGCAGAGCAGGACATCAGTTACCGAACGACCTTAGCAAAAAGTTGTAAGAGGCAATCCCTAAGGAGAAAACATCTTAATGTCGATCATATTGACAGATGCTCATGAGAAATGCAGAAATAATAGGTAATCTAATCAGCATTACGGTGGTTCCAGGAAGGGCACCAAAACAACACTAATTACCTTAAATACCGATGAAAACTGGCGAAGAATTAAATCAGAAAGACGTCGTCGGTGTTTTTGAAGCCAGCCGGTCACGAATGCATTCGAGCCAGGACCACGGAATAGGTAATCGTTTTCTGAGTTGATAAATATAGATGGTGATCGGGGTTGACACGACTGATAGGCGTTTCCCTAATGGCCCCGTTTGAGCTATGTAACAGCGCCGTGTGATCGATAGGACGAGTGTGATCAGAAAAGCAAAATCTACACACGCTATGTGTGTGTGTATGCGCGTGTGGTGTTGGGCAATGAGCATAGATCGCCGGGTTGCTGTGGGACCACCTCAGTCGGCGGGGCCCCCCTTCCCTCACCCTCACCCACAGCTGTTCCCATTCCGGCGACAACTGTCTAACTTATCCCTACACATGAACTCATTAATCTTTCCGACCTTATTTCAGCAGTCCCGAAACATCCTATTCGATCTGAGTTGCTGATCAATATAGAGCAATTGTAGTAGGAAAGGGGGACCCTAATGAACAGGAGCTGGGCCAACTGGGTAAACCTACTAGAGCAACAAGGCTTATCGGAAGTAGTAAGAAGTTGCCACCGCTGATAAGCACCACAAGTAAATAGTATCGATTACATTGATAAACATGGGTGGCCTTGTGGTCAGACACGATCGGAACTCGAGGTGGAAGAGAAAGAAAAAAGAAGCGAGAAGGATTCGAAAGTGAAGTTCGAGCCTCAAACACTCCGATTCTTACGAGAATTATCTCATTAACTCAAGTGTCAGCTAGTTGCTTTTTTTCCCGCTGCTAACTTTCCTCGTTCAACTACTTTGACTGTTGTTTCCTCTTTTATTGCCAATTTGTTGGTTTTTTTTAAATCACCATTCAGTTTTTGGCGCTACCTCAAGATACGGGGGCTTCCGGCTAATCGTGGAAAAAACAAGGACAGAAACTAAGGGAGAATGAGATTTGCTCGGGCACCCTGGTGGTTCTTCTCCCACGTCTAAGTCCTACCAGGGAGGTCTTTCAGGGAATGCCCAGCTTTTCCGAAACGGTTTTTTGCATGATATAGGTACGTGCATGGAACGCAGAACTGTGTTCATTTCCTGGAGGCCCTCCTTGACTGTCAAACTTCTTAAAGCGAGAAATTACGATAAAATTTCTGTGCAGCATGGAAGAACGAGCAGCACTTCAAGCAGTAGCTAGAGCCCAAAGGAATCGAGATGTGGCCTTTTTGTGACTAAAGGTGCGCTCGTTGCAGCGCCCTGGGGCTGCCAATCCTTTCTGAGCTCCGCCTCCGCCTGTGCTCCGCCCCTCAGCAGATCGCTGTTCGATTATCATTCTGATAAGGTATGCCACTTCGAGCGCGTATCCAATTTTTTTCTCATGGAATGCTATATCAATCAAGGTATGATCTCTGGTGGTATGATGGCAGCTATGGTTTAACGAGTGCCGACGACCTCTTAGTTGGTTGCCAACTCGTCCATTATCGGAGGTCAACGGGCAGAGGAAGTGGTCCCATTTTGCGCGTTTTTGACGGATTTCTTTGCTTTTTTCGCTACTAGGGCATTATTCAGCATCTTCACTTCCACTATGAGCACAACAGAATCCTATCGCAATCTCTCGCTTACGGAATGTCGTTCCTAAAATTTCTCAACGTTTTTTTTAGTCCAATTCCTACGTATAAATGTGCTGATAGCATATTAATGATATGATAAATCTTTCTCTGGGCTATCTTTCGCAAATTTATGAAGCCCACACCAAACTCAATATTTGTCCTGGGTAGATTCGAACCACGGGATCACTAGCATTATCACCCCTTTTTGCTAACATTCAGAAAGGCACTCAGTGAAATGTGCCACAGTTGCAGTTCCAATGTCCTCTACTCTAATCTGGCAAAAAACGTTTCGCAAACTGTGCGCTTTCCTTCGTTGATCCGTCATTAATGAAGGAAATGTTGGTAAATGTATTGCACTCATCGCCCGTACGTTTATATAGCGCTCTCACTTCCCTATATTGTATATAGTCTTAGTTATTTCCCTAGTGATGCTAGTAACGTTCACTAGGCTAATCGCATGTTTACATAGATGTGAAAAGTATTATAATATTGAATAGGGCGGAAGTGGTGTAGTGACAAGTGGCGCGCTTACCACGCGAGCGGTCCGGGGATCAAATCCTGGGTCGTGAGTCGCCCGGGCCAACCAAGCCTTCCATCCCTCCGGGGTCGGTTAATTGGTACCAGACTTGTCTGGGAGGATAAAAAACACTGACTTGAACATCGGCTGGCCCCCGCAAGTCATTGTATAGGCCACATCGCATTCAAACGCCACTACGAATGTACAAATGGAAGTAGAATGCGTGCCGCATCCCAAAAGGGATTGATCAACGGCAAATGCTTTATCCTTATTTTATATGGTAGTTTCATTAACTTAATAATTCATACGCGAAAGTGACCCCCCTTCTCTATAAGAGACGATGCTGCTAGTGGCAACACAAATGTGGGGGAGTACGTGGAAGCACGAGCGGCAGAAGGACTGCAGCCAAGGTGCTGCAACTAGCGCACGCTTTTTTTTTTTTTTTTTTTTGGAGCTCACGAAAATGCCACATCTCGCTCACTGGCTACTGCTTCCACCGATGCATGCACTTCCACACGCTGCACAGAAATTTTATCGCAATCTCTCGCTTTGAATTTAAAAAAAATGAGTAGAATTAAATAAAAATGAAATAAAATAGGAATCAAATCAAACGAAATGAAAATTAAACACAGAAAGCAGTAAATCTACGGCTCAATATGAAAATCACTGTGTTGGAGTCCACAATCTCCATAACGTTGCCTTATAAAAAGACTTGCGCCTCATTAGTGATAAGCAATCTGTAAACACAACAAAATCATTACAGCACGATGTTCGACACATAACTGACCAAACAACAACACGTACACAAAGATGAATCAAAAGAGAAATCAAGCATTAGCGGACCATTTTCTACTCACTAATGTTCTCGTCACGAGACCAATTTCCAGCATAAGTGAAGCCAAAGCTGGTGCAGTCACTGGAAGCACCATATCGTATTGTACTTCCTCCATAATCATATTGCCAGCGACTGAATAGAGCGCTGATCACCTCAGCCGAACAAATTGCCGAGCAAGGTCAACCATCCCGGTAAAATTACTCGAACCAGGGATCGTATTTGGGGTTTGCTAAGAGCAACCATCTGCTGGGAAACTGCGAACGGAGGGTCATATTTGTGAAAGTCGAAAGATCGTCGTTGAGGGAGAGGGGATCGTTTCTGAAGCGTTTCTTGACGGTTATGATGATGAAAACTTCACAAAACAATAGCGAAATAGAAATTGGATCATTGCCGTTTGTTCATAAATATATGAAAGTGTGGTCGGAGTAAGCCATGGAGGTGGTGGGACCTCCTAAGAACCCGACGGCTGACTCTGAGAACATCGCGACCGTCATCGGTTGATTCGCAAAAGTGAAGGCATTCGAGCAATAATACTCGGATGAAGTGGGCTAAAGAATGAGAAAAGCAATTTCAAAGACTCTTAGCAGGTGAGCCACGAGTCAAGTGAATTCTGCCCTCCCTATGGGCTGTTATAATCCAAGAGCTGATAATTGAGCGTCTCTCACTTTCAGGCATCCTAGGCGATTCTTTGCCCAACTTTTCCTCAAAACTGTACCTCACCTACCTGAGGATTGTCCTTCGATCGGGGAAGGGTAGCATAGGGAGCGCGTATAATACAGGAACTTTCGCTCAGGTTGCAGCAGTTCTTCGACTGAACTACAAGGTGTTTCAAAACTAATAAAGACACCCCTAAAAACTGCTGTTCCGAGTTAGGATGAAAGATTCATGACTTGCCGTCAACTTCATTGAATTCAGTATGCCTTCAAACTATAGTACATCTTACTATGGAAAGCGACATAAGCTGTTAACTTTTATACAAAATTTTCGGACGTCACTTGTTCCAAAAGTATAAAGGCACTCTGGGCAAGAGGATTTTGTCACTAGAAAGTTTTTCTTGACTCATTTGCGATTCTGTAAGCATGCTTGGTGAAAGCACACCAGCTTTTCACTAACGAGGAAGGTCTTTCAGGAAATGCCCAGCTTTCTCGAAACGGTTTTTTGCATGATATAGGGGTACGTGCATGGAACACAGAACTGTAGTTCATTTTTCCTGAGCGGCCCTCTGAATACCAAAAAAGGGGTGATGAAGTGGTCCGTGGTTCGAATCCTCGCAGTGACAATTTTTTGCATTTTGTGTTGGCGTTTCAAAATTCGCGAAAAATAGCGTCAGCGTAAACAACTTATGTCATATCTATAATTAGGACCATCAGCAACCTTTATACGTAGACTTTGGCTAAAAACTGGTGAAGAAAGTGAAACCTTCGCTCCTTTTTTGGTATTCAGAGGGCCGCTCAGGAAAAATGAACCACAGTTCTGTGTTCCATGCATGTACCTCTATATCATGCAAAAAACCGTTTCGAAAAGCTGGGCATTTCCTGAAAGACCTCCCTGGTAAGGCTAGACGATTTAAGCTTTTCCAGAGGAGCAGCACCCATATGATACCGCGAGGTCTCGTTAGCTCACCCAAGTACTTCCACAATACTTCTCTGCTTGCTACCAGTGTAGATTTACCTTGCAAGAATCCAGGTGCTTTTGTCAGGATTTATTTATCCCAATTGCATGCAGAACAATTGTACAGTTTCGTTGAGAATACGAAGACATAGTAGCTGATCAGCTGCATCGGCGCTGTCGGGCATAAGATGAAATTCTACCGGCAATCTAAAGTTACGATTAAAAGCGACAATATATGATAGGTTAGACCACCCTAAATCGCTGAAGTCCATTTCATCCGACACAGAGAGGGCACACTACTGTAGCATCATGCAGCCCAGTCCACCTGGAAACCGCCACCGAGCTTCCCCTGGTGGGAGACTGGTGTGTCTTTCCCGAAACCCCTCAACAGCTGCTTATGATCCGGCATCTCTCAGTCAAGCTTATTCTTATCAGAAAAGATTACCCAAACTCGAAGGAGCCCTTACTACTAGTCACCTTAACTATGTGCCTTCCTACCCGTAGAACCACCTGCTAATTCCCATACCATCTTATGATACTTCCAGCTAGTTTGAAGTGAGCTGTCTTGTGGTGCTCACCCAGTCAAGGGATCGTCATCATGACGAGACAAAAATATTTTGAAATAAGGTTGGAAATCCATATGGTAGTTGTTGATACGAGAAACGAAAGTTATGTGAGACCTGCTTGACTGACGTGGTATAACTAGAATAGTTGTTGGATACAATTTACTTCGTGCTTAGAGGTCACTCTGATTCTCCAAAAAATCTGTTATTACCATAAGAAGCCGCATTTCCCATAAATTTGTCAACATAAGCCGGAGATTGGTCATGTTGAGCGGCTATGAAGCATTATAGTGAAAATTGTGTGTGGTGTGTGATGTGCCATGCTTTCTGAGTGGTCACAGTCAACCCTTCAACTTTATCAACTTTAATGAAACAGTAACAGAAAATACAAATTAGTTCAATAGGAGTGGATGGAACAGTGGGGTAGGCAGAGTTGTGGAAGGTGGACGAAGGAGGGTGAGGCTAGCGACGAGCAGAAAACGAACACTTGTGCTTGCTATGCCTTTTACACGATATTCCCCGCGTCATTCTTGGTAGGTGGGCCTATTTTGGCCACGTACCGTGAGCGCAAGGCGTTCACAGGGCTAGCGCTTGACCACTTTTTAAAATTAGACCTTCGCATGATCTTGTTCCTAGATAGAAAACTCTGGACATCTATTCCCACAAAATTGCAGTTGCGACTACAGGAAGGAGCTTCACTCAGAATCCTCTCACCCACTGTGCCCCAACACTTTTGATACATGGAGATTTCCGAATTCAATAATAACAACCGTTTCTAGGGTATATGATTTCAGTGGTTCCAGTGCATGTTGAATTCATAAAAGAGGAGCCAGCCATGAGTGATCTATCCGAAATCGGGACTGCTGTTTTCAGCACGGTGAATAACTGTAGAGCAAATGAGTTTTTCCTACTTGTTGACTAGTCCATCAAAAATCAGTGAACAACAAAGGAGTCCTGTTGATTTTCCACATGTTGCAAATTGCAACGAGATTTACTTTGCATCTTATACTATGGTTAGAAGTTTTCACTTAGTTTTTTCTTATCTACTAGCTGATCAGACATTTTTAAGACGTCTGAATGGCCTATCAGTTTCATCTTCAGGCTATACTTACATATCCCCCGCTTGCCGACGTCGCCTGCATAAAAGCCCCTCGCCCAGACGAAGGGCTACCAGGGAGGTCTTTCAGGAAATGCCAAGCTTTTTCAAAACGGTTTTTTGCATGATATAGGGACACATGCATGGAACACCAAACTATAGTTCATTTTTCCTGAGCGGCCCTCTGAATGCCAAAAAAGGAGCGGTGAAAAAATTCTTAAGGAACTGCTGTTTTAACCG